GGCCCCTTGATCTAGTGCATCAAATAAAATCATTTTCCAGTACTGTTAATACAAGCATTACCAAGTTGTCTGTCTGTTTTCAGCCTCCTAAGGAACTTTGGCATTCTGTCTGATGTCAGATGAACCAGTTGTTTTAATAGTCACATCTGAGGCTGCCATATTATCTCACCTTCTTCCCAGAAGGCTGCATCCCGATGGCAAATCCAGCCAGCATCTCTTAAGTCTGCAGGACATTTTAAAACCGCAGCCAACAATAATCATGGCCTGAAACATTTCCCCCCCCCTTTATTAAACATCCATACTGATGAAGATTTCCAGAAAAGTGGAAAGTTTGTACACAGTTTTGTGTTCTTTTCATTGGTCTTAACAAAAGGTATTATATATCTGTTGTGTTCATGAGAGAGGCCAAGTTCTCTGACTGTAACTCAACTGGCCATAATAGTAGAGGATGCTGGTATTGTATGAGAAGGCTTTGAAAATATTATTTATAATTTTTATGTATTTACTTTCTCACTGAGACTGAAATTACAGGATATAAAACAGTGCAATCAGGCAGCATAAACCAACCAATGAACAATGCAACAGGACTAGGATTATAGAAATATAGAACAATGCCAACAACAAACTGCCTAAGGTATACTATATACTATAAACAATCTAAGAAGAAGCTTACAAAATACAAGAATGTGCAGTGAAAGCAGGTATTACCTACAAAAATCATTGCAATGGACTAAGATCCCATTCCATTATAAAGATCTCTTCCTGGCCTGTTCCAGTCTACTACGGCTCTAAACTGTTCTTAAAAACGCCCTCTTGAGCATTACTGTTTTGTGCATTCTGCAAAATGACAGCAGCAGCAGAAGAAGAGGAGGAGGAGATTGGATTTATACCCCGCCCTTCACTACTCAAAGGAGTCTCAGAGCGGCTTACAAACTCCTTTCCCTTTACCTCCCCACAGCAGACAGCCTGTAAGGTAGGTGGGGCTGAGAGAGCTCTGACAGAAACTGCTCTGTTTCAAGAACAGCTCTTATCAGAACTACGGCTTGCCCAAGGCCATCCAGCAGGTGCAAGTGGAGGAGTGAGGAATCAAACCCGGTTCTCCCAGATTAGAGTCTACGCACTTAACTACTACACCAAACTGGCTGGAGACAGAGCCACACACATAGAAATAGCCCATGTCCAGGGGAGAAGGGGGGTAATTTGTAAAAAATATACTGGGAAAGAAGAGTGTGAGAGAATAAAACCAATACTATGGTGGCAGCTGCTGCTGAAAAAGCATAATTTTAATTTGCACAACCAGTCAGATTTCCAGTGGTGTGGGGATAGTCTCCCTGGTCTCTTATGGAGGACAATTCCACAAGGTGGGAGCCACCACTGAGAAAGCATGTGAATGGGCAGCTGCCAATCTTACCAGTCTGCAGGGTGGCACCTTTAGAAGGCTTTGCTTGAATGAGCAAAGACATCGCAGCAGAGCACAGCAGCATAGACCTGCAGGTCCCAGGCCATTATGAGCTTTGCAGGTGATGGCCAGAACCTTGCACTGAACTTGGTAACTGATTGGTGACCAATGGAACACCTGTGGAATGGGTATGATATGCATGTTGCGCCTGGTCCACTATATTAACCAGTCTGTAGGGTTGTCTTTAAGGGCAGACCCAGGCAGAGTGCATTACAATAGTATAGCTTTCAGGTATCTATAACATAGGTAGATCCACATGGTGGCCAGATCAGCCAAATCAAGGCAGTCTTCTGAGCTTAGTGAAGCTGGTTGAATGGCTTTGTTTTGCAGCTGCATTAACTTGCTTCTTCAGTAACAGTGCTGGATCCATCAGAACCCCTATGCTCTTGACTGACTCAGCAAGCGTCAGCTCGACCCCAACAATGGAGGGGAGACCAATGTCCCTCAAGCCACCATCCATGCCGCTCAATGCCTGTCTGAGCAGGGAGCTCCTGTGTGGGACTGCTCTCTCCCTCTCCCTGCACTGACATGATACTGACAGAGAAAGTAAGGACACACTGGGATTCTCTGTTGTTATGTCCAGTGCTATGGTTGTAGGCAGGGGTTTATTTGGGGGGGAACGCGCTGGAACAGTACCAGAACCACTTCGACAAAATTCTTTTAAAAAATGTTTAAAAGTTCATGAGTTTTCAGTATTCAGATTGAAAACTCAATTTCCCTCTTGAGAGTTCCAGTACCCCCCCCCCCCCCATTGTCGGAAATCCTAAAAAAGAAAGACCTTATCTTTGAGCCAGGGCTGGCCCACTCACTAGGATAACTAGACATTTGCCTAGGGAGGGCCGATAATCAGGGCGCCAAACTGTGCCTGCCCCCCAAAACCCCTGCATCGTCCTGACCCCAGCCGCTGCCGCCTTTTTCTCTCCCCGACCGTCCTCCCTCCTTCCGCCAGGCTGGGTAGGCGAGGATCCATCCTCTGCACGTGCTCAGAGGTGCCCCGCTGGCTCACTTCATCACACCCCCACCTCCTCCCTCCTGCTCAGTGCGCCCCTTCCTCCTGAGGTGCTGCCTCAATTCCCGGGGCCGGGCACAGGGCGCCCAGCCCGCACGCAAACTTGCCGCCATCCTCCTCCTCCTTGAGTTGGCTTTGCAGAGCTGCCTGACTTGCGCTCGCTTCCACTCAGTGCATGCTTGCAGAGGAACATTTTTAAGTGCAGCTAACAATTTTGCCAAGACAAAAGTGCCCAGATCCACTCTGGGTGGGCGTGGCGGCAGCTCCCACCCCCCCCCCCCCCCCCCCCCAGCTTGGATTCTGTGCAGGCTCAGGAGCACTCCATTCTCCAACAGCTCCTGTAGAGGTGTTCCCTGGCTACCCCTCCCAGGCCGCTGGTGGTGTTTGAGGGGCCCCCCTTTCCGAAGACCGGGGGCCAAGAGGGCCTGCAGAGCAGGGAAATGGGTGTGTGAGGGCCCCAGGAACTCCCTACAGCTGGTACTGTGCCCCCTCCCCTCGCCCCTTGGCTCAGACTGCAACCTCAGCTGGCTGGTTTCCCTGGCAGCTGGCAACCTGAGGTAAAAAAAAACCTGGGGGTTGTTTATGGGGATTTGTGTCTCTGGCAACCTCTCTCTCCTTTGCCTGCAGCACTGAAAGGGTTAAAGTGAGCACGCTGCATACATTGCTAGAGGGGCTGAGCAAGGAGGGGGTTGCAATGGGAGCAAAAGAGCCTTGCAGCTGGATGCCAGGAAGGTTTACTCACAAGTAAGATCCTTTCTCACTGAATGGTCATGGGAGACCAGTGCGCCCTCTAAGCTGTGGAGCCTTTGTGAGTAAAAATTCTACGTTGTGAGGTCCTGGCATTAAAGTTGTGAGCCAGCGATTTGGCTACTGCATAAATTAGTTTGCCCTGGAGCCGAATTGGAAACAAAATCCTGGAAAGACCAAAGTGATGCCCGTTGGGAAGGTGGAGGTTGTAAAGGATGTTTTGCCTCCTGCTTTCCATGGAGAGTTCGGCTGACCCCTGCAGATTCACTTAAGAACCTCAGTGGTTTTACTGGACCCAACATGATTGCTGGAGAAGCAACTTAACGTGGTTGCTCCTACTTGGCCCTGTAAACTTTCAGGCTTTGGAAGAGTGGGGGGGAGATCTCTCCAAACAAGAAAACAAATGTTGGGTTCTAGGATGTTAAGGGGTGGGGGACAAAGACAGAATATCAAAGGAGGGCAGCGAACTGAACTGAAAAACAAAGTCTGAGTCCACTGGCACCTTTTAAGACCAACACAGGCCCCCGGGCACATATCACGGGGGGAGGCGTGGCTAATTGCCCTGGCGCAGTTTGATCCGCGATTACATGATCAGACGTGCCAGCGGCACAGCACGGGTCCTTCCCTTGGCGCCAGTGGGTAAACGAGGGACCGGAGGCGAATGCAGCGCCAGCTTGATCACACTACGGGCGTCTGGAGGCAGCCCGTGGCAAACGTTGACTAGCACCTTGAAGGTACTAGTTTTTAAATGCGCATTGTCGGCGGTAAGCCACGGGTGCGCTCCACTTCCCAGATGTTGGGGTGTTATCGTGCCCGGATAATCCGCCCAGTCCCGTGTGATTGGGGCCACAGTTTTATTCAAGATATAAGTATCTGGAGAAGTGTGCGTGCACATGAAAGCTAATACCTTGAATAAAACTGTGTTAGTCTTAAAGGTGCCACTGGACTCAAACTTTTGTTCTGCCAACACAGCTACCCACATGAATTGAAAAACATCTGAAGACAGGCAAAACTGTTTAAAATGACTGAAGGCGGCATGAAAATGCCTCTGTTATACAAAAATTTTCTGCCCCCTCAGGCTTGCTTTCTCTTTCTTTCTTTCCTTCCTTCCTTCCTTGAACCCACAATCCATTCCTTGGGAATAAAACTGGGCATTACCATCCTGGATCAGATGATTATAATCAGTTCCAAACTGTGTGCTAAAATTTCCTAGCATGCTGAGAGGGAATTAATTTAAGGGGTCCCATGGATTCATAGTACCCACCTACAAAAGAGGCTGTCTGTGCTTGTTCGTTACTTCTTAATAAAGCTGAATCACTTGCTGAATCACTCTACGAGTCCTTTGTTAGCGCGATCTAACAATAACACAGTTGCAAAGAGAATATGTGCATGGCCGTCGCTCTGAAAGCTGTCTATATAGGTATCTGCCCAATTACAAGCTTAGAATACACTGTCCTGAATTCTCACGTGCCATGTCTTTGTACTGGTTTCACAACTAGCTTAGCCAGTATGTATTTTTTACGGGAAATATTGACATGTTGCGCTCTCAGCCTCTGAAACCCCCAGGCGCCTAACTTTTTTTTTTTTTTTTAAGTATCCATTAAAGGGGGGGGGAAATGCCATTTGAGAGAACGCGCCAAGACCGTAACAGGCGGAGCCACCCGCAGACCGGAAGTCAGGATCCAGCGCGTCGCTCTGGCCTAGTCCACTCTATGGTGCCATCCTGGGTGTCGTGAGAGTACACCCCGGCACGCGCGGTTCTCGCGAGAACTGGGCCGGGCCGCCTGTCAAGGGCCGTCATGGCCGGCGGTGGCGGCGCTGAGGCGCGCACCAGCCTGACCGCTTTCGTGTTGGGCGGCTCCGTCGCCGCCGTTCCGCTACTGCTTTCCCCCCCTCCGCCGGCGCTGCTGTCCGGGCCCGGCATTCAGGGCCGGGTCGCTCTGGCGCTTCATGTGGCCGGGATCAACGCCGCCCTCTTGTTGGGCTGGGGACGAGCGCCGGGCGGGATGTACCAGGTGAGGGGCGGGGCTCGGGGAGGAGGGGGCGTGGTCACGTTCGTGCCCACCTAGCGCTGAGCAAAACTTCGAGGTAGCTCTCGCCCTCATAGAACCCACTTAAATGCCATAAAACTGACTGTAGACTTTTGAGTGCCATAGAATTCTTCGTCGGGTTGCGTGTTGAGCATGAAAAAGGGGCCGAAAAGAGAGCTTTTCAGTGCCACAGAATTCTTATTCAGGTTGCATGTTAAGCATAAACTGGGGGAGAAAAATGCTTTTGGTTGCGACAGGGTTAAGCATCTGAAGCCTAAAATGGGGGAGAAAAATGCTTTTGGTTGTGACAGGGTTTTTCCTTTGGCATGCACAAAAAGCTATGCGGGAGGAGTTCATCAGGATGCACGAAAATGCACAAGTTCTGGTTTGTTCTACAACCCAAATCCTATTGCGTCGTTTATTGACTGCTCCATCCTGTTGATTGTATTGGGGTTTATAAATACTCTTCCTTTGCGTAATCCAGTTTGAGTCTCAGTGAGACAGGCGGACTATAAATAACACACACACAAAATAAATAAGGGGAGAAAAAATATTTCAGGGTATGTTGAAAAACAAAGTTGTTCTGCAGTTTGTAGTCTTACTTTGTGATTTTTTTAGGTATTCTCTTTTGGGACCATAAGGTTCTCAAAACAGTTTCCAGAGGTTTGAAAAGCAAGTATTATCTTCTCACCCTTTCCTCTGCTGCTGGGTTTCAGAGGAATAGCAATCTGTGAAAAAGACACTAACACTAGTTCAATAATGACCAAAGAATACAAATACAAGCATATAACCACAATATTACAGTAGAAAAGTTTCCTCTTGTGGTGAAGATGTATGAAGAATAATAAACGAAGAATCCGGATATTAAGAACATTTCGAAGAACTTCCTCAGTAACTGATAAATAATATATCTTCAAATAGGTTATATGCACTCTTGTGAGTTACAGCAAACACATCTCATAGATGGGCAGTTTCTCAGGAAAAGCTCAAGGCTTTACATCACACTTCCTTCCATAATTACTGCCTCTACGAGCTAGCAACAAAAAGCACATAAATGGGCAGCTATTGACAACACATCTCAGGAAAAGCTCAGAGCTTTACATCACACTTCCTTCCATAATTACTGCACTGTGTGTTCCTCTTTGGTTGCTGCTGGGTTTCAGAGGGCATTTAATTTTTTCCTTTACTTAATTTCTAGTTCACCATTCTCACTGAGGCTCAGCTGTGTGTAACAGAAATTTTAAAACAGTGCAAAAGGAACAGGATAAGACGTAGAACAAACAATATCATAACAATGTATTAGAAAACATGGCAGCTATAATAAGAAATGCAAAAACAGGATTATTTTTTTCCAGAAGTTAGAAACAGTACAGTAAGAACAGGATAATGCATGCAGTGCCATATGCAATGTGTCCCTTGTCCCTTTATAAAAGCATCCTGCTGACCAGTTCCATTGTACTACAAAGAAGAAGAAGAGATTGGATTTATATCCCGGCCTTCACTCAGAGTCTCAGAGCGGTTTACAATCTCATTTCCCTTCCCCTCCCCACAACGGACACCCTGTGAATTAACTGAGGCTGAGGGAGCTCTGACAGAAACTGTTCTTTCAAGAACAGCTCTGACAGAACTATGACTTGCCCAAGGTCATCCAGCAGGTGCAAGTGGAGGAGTGGGGAATCAAACCCGATTCTCCCAGATTAGGGTCCGCGCACTTAACCACTACACCAAACAGCCCCTTTTCCTTGTATAAAACTGCCCTCCTGAACATTTCTGTTTTACACATTCTGTGGAATGCGAGAGCCTTCCTGACCTCCACAGGCAGGCCATTCTACAAAGTGGGAGTCACATCAGAGAGTGCTGGGTGCAGACAGCTGATGATCTTACCCATTTGCAGAGCAGCATCTTCGGGAGACTATGAGACTATGCTCAGATCAGCATGGCTACCCCAGTGGGGTGCATCACGGGAGACAATCCTTTAGGCATGTGTGTCTATTCTTATTGCATTGTTCTTTTTTAAAGTGTGCGTGTGTGTGTGCCTGGAAGTTATGGTTGACTTCTGATGATCCTCAGTGGGACTAGGACGTTTCAAAGAGGTGGCTTGCTATTGCCTGTCTCTGCATCCCGGCCCTGGTATTCCTTGGAGGTCTCCCATCCAAGTACTTGCCAGAGTCGACCCTGCCTAGCTTCCAAGATCTGACAAGACTGGGCTTGCCCGGGCAATCCAGGTCAGGGCGCCTTATTGCATTGTTTATAAACCTCGTAATCTGACATCTCCGTGAGGAAAGGTGGACTATAAATAGAGCAAATTCTTCTTTTGCCCCTGGATTGGCAGTTGGGGATTGAGCATCAGCGCTTGCCAAGGTCAGTTTTGGCTCAGTCAGGACCTGCCTGTTGTCTCATCCCATCCTGAAGAATGTGTGTGTGTGTGTGGGGGGGGGCTGCTAGACAGTCTCAAAACATGACTGGCAACTTAAGGGAAAAAACATTTCTTCCCCGATGCTCCCAGGAAGCTGTGTCATGCCCCCTCTGACCACGTGCCTTTGCCTTTCAGATTGCCATCCGTGCCTGCTTCTTGGGCTTCGCCTTTGGGTGCGGCTTGTTGCTCAGCTTCGGACAGTCTTCATGGAGGCATTTTGGCTGGTAAGAGAGCAGCGCTTGCTGGTGTGCATCGCAAGCAAAAACCTAGACACGCACAAAGACAGGGAGGTTTTCTCTTTGTGTTGGCTCTCCTGTTCTTGCATCCTCTTATTACCTGAGATTTCTGTGCGGTCCCCACTCCCCTCTGTTGGATGGATATCTGGCTGGCTATGATCACCTGGCCCTTACCCGGATGGCCCAGTCTCGAAAGCTAAGCAGGGTCGAGCCTGGTTAGTGCTTGGATAGGAGACCAAGGAAGCCCAGGGTCACTGCGCAGAGGCAGGCAATGGCAAACCACCTCTGTTGCTTCTCTTGCCTTGGAAAACCTTATGGGGTTACCATTGATAGCAAAAAATGCAATCATTTGAGGGCAGGGTCTTCTCTGTCTCTTTTGGGTTTGAATCTCAGGGTCTTCTCTAGCCCTTTTGGGTTTCCTAGATGAATTTCAGGGTCTTCTCTGGCCCTTTTGGGCTTCCTAGATGGCCCGTGTTGTCACTATACAACAGTTTGGCAAATATGCCTCTTTAGTCTTAGGTACATTTATTGTGAATGGAGTTGGATCTGCTTGTGAGTCTGTCATTGGGTGCGTTCAGACGGGGGCTTTATATCGGTTAGGGTGCCGGTTCCAACCGTTGTACTCACCGGCGTTCAGACGGGGCACATCTGCCTCCTGTCCCTAACCGGCGTAAAGCCCTTTACATCGTTGCACTCTGCCACCAGGTCCCAAGTGGTGGTATACTGAGTGCAACGGTTGTAAACGGTGTACCCTGGCGTCTGATCGGTCTCCACCGTTCCACAGCCATTTCCGTCGGACGCCTGAGGCTTCCGGCTTTCCCCCGCCGTTTAAAAAAAAAAACACACTAGGTGATATGCGCTCGGGCGAAGCTTCGCCCTGAGCGTTTGTTAAAAAAAAAAAAAAGCCCTTAGTTTAACTTCCCGGAGGAGTCCGGGACTTAAGGGAGGCCAGGTTGGGCTTTAAACTTTAAAGGTAAGTCCTTACCTTTAAAGTTTTGTAGGGGGGGGGGGGTTGAGCATGCGCAAAGATCGGCATTCTATGAATGGCTGCCTATGCACATGCTCAAACTGTGTTTTAAAAAAAACAAACTCGCCGACGCCCGCAGCGTGTGAGCGGGCGTACACCGGAGGGATCCGCAAAATGGAGGTAAGTCTGATCGCCTTTTTGCCAGCAGAAACTGCACCGGTTCCAACCGGTGCAGTTTATGCCGGCAGAAAGCCCCCGTCTGAACGCACCCAGAGTGTGGGCTGCATAGTTTTCTTTTCACTGGTTTTTAATGACTTCTTTAAAACTATTGAGAGCCAGTTTGGTGTAGTGGTTAAGTGTGCGGACTCTAATCTGGGAGAACCGGGTTTGATTCCCCACTCCTCCACTTGCAGTTGCTGGATGACCTTGGGCAAGCCATAGTTTTGTCAGAGCTGTTCTTGAAAAAGAGGAGTTTCTGTCAGAGTTCTCTCAGCTCAACCTACCTCACAGGGTGTCTGTTGTGGGGAGGGGAAGGGAAAGGAGTTCGTAAGCTGCTCTGAGACTCCGAGTGAAGGGCAGGGTATAAATCCAATCTCCTCCTCCTCCTCCTCCTATTCAAAAGCTCATTTGTGAATAGCTGTTTGTTTCTTGTTCCCCACAGACGTGTAAATGTGGGTGGCACTCTGGGGCCAGGACCAGCCCTTGGCCTGTTTCCTGTGCCTTGCTTGTGGAGTGGTCTGTGTGGGGTCATAGTTCATAGCATTTGGTTAACATGTATTTTTGTGACACACATCTTTCAACAGCAAGGCTTTGGTTCCACAGAGCAATTGAGTTTAGAGCTGTCTTCAGAACTGAGCATTTCTTCCATTTGGCCTGTAGCGTGTCAATATTAAGATCTTTTATGTCTGCATGGAACAAACCATGTAAATATGCTTGCTAGAATAAATGCTGGTTGATATGTCAGTTTATTGAGGTAGAATATATAATAGTAGGCAGCTTATAAAGAGAGAACTTTAATTTCAGCTCATTGTTTACATTGTTAATAAGATAATACTGATGCAGCGTTTGTTCTTTACTATGCTCAACTCATGTTGATCGTAACAATTCTTCGTTTTAAAATAAAATAAACAGCAACACTAAAGGATCTTTTACACCAGCAGTCGTTTGTTTCTGGGAACAATTCCAGGTGCTTTTCAAGCCATTCATTACCTAGCACCCGCTTACTGGAAGCTTCCTCTCCCTGTTTTGTGAGCACCTTTCTTCTGATCGGTTTGTGCAGATGGTGATGTGAGATAAACTTTCTTTCCTCGGTGGGTGTGTCTGTTCCATTGAACAGCCTTTCCAAGAATGTGAGAAAGGCCTCTTTGCTTCTTGTTTTTTAGAAAGCTCTGTAAGGCTTTTGGGAACACTCAAAATGGGCCACAGTGTTCTTATTGGATGGCAGTAGTTTCTTGCATTTGACTTTCGGTACCTACCATGGTTGGAGCTGTGGTGGCTCAAGTGGTTAAGATGCTGAACTGCAGGCTGTGGAATGTCAGTTTAGCAGTTCGAGACCCGAGTTGCCGCATGACAGAGTGAGCTCCCATCTCTAGTTCCAGCTCCTGCCAAACTAGCAGTTCGAAAGCAAGAAATTGCAAGTAGATAAATAGGTACCACTTTGGTGGGAAGGTAACAGCGTTCCGTGCGCCTTGGTGTTTAGTCATGCCGGCCACATGACCACGGAAAGGTCTTCGGACAGCGCTGGCTCTTCGGCTTTGAAACGGAGATGAGCACCGCAACCCTAGAGTCGGACTCCACTGGCTTTCGAGCAAGGGAACCTTTACCTTTACCTGCCATGGGTCCTCATGTTAGAGAGAAATGGGGGCTTATAAATACTTTTAGTAAATAATGGGTTGGATCCAGACTAAAGGAGGGGCTGTGGCTCAGTAGAAGGACCTCTGGTTTGCATGCATAAGATCCTAGGTTCAATTCCCGGCATGTCCAGTTAAAAAGGACCCAGCAGTAGGTGATGTGAAAGACCTCTGCCTGAGATCCTGGAGAGCCGCTGCCAGTCTGAGTAGACAGTACTGACCTTGCTGGACCAAGGGGTCTGAATCAATACAAAGCAGCCTCATGCGTGACAGCCTCCACCCAACCCCCCTTCCTGCAGCAGACCTCTTTCATGTCATTCCTCAGGGTCTCTTGTCGCCCCAGGAGCAGCACTTTGCAGAGATCAGTGGGAGAAAGGAGGCAGGACATTTCCATTCAACCTCTGGAAAACAGTCTGGTTCCAACCCAATAAGTGAAAGTCAGGAAGAAGTGACCAGAAGGCATTGCATCCAATGTAACCATCCTCGTTTTGGTCTTTCCTCAGGTACATGTGCTCTCTGTCTGTCTTTCATTATTCTGAATACTTGGTGACGGCCATAAACAACCCTAGAAGTTTGTCTTTGGACTCTTTCTTGCTCAACCATAGTTTTGAATATAACGTGGCTGCGTTCTCCTCGTGGGTGGAGTTCACTGTGGAGAAGTTCATTTTCCCAGGTCAGTAGCCATTCAAGAGAAACGGAAACCTTCTTTTATTTATTTATTTATTTATTCGATTTATACCCCGTCCTCCCCAGCGGGCTCAGGGCGGCTAACAACAGAGGCAAATGCCATAACAAATAGTTAAAACAACATAAATCCTGATGTTCAATTTTCTTAATCCAAGACGAGTTCCATTTGTCAACCTAGCCTGACAACATACATTCTTCGGTTAACTAGGCGTCTGCCCAGGGCCGGCTCACCTCCAGATCTAATCCACCGTCTAAGATGGCAACTCGGTGGTGGTACAGTGACGGCGGTGGCTCCTATGCAAAGGCCTGGCGGAAGAGCTCCGTATTGCAGGGCCCGAACCTGCTCTGGGAGCTCATTCCACCAGACAGGAGCCGCCGCCGAAAAAGCCCTGGCCCTGGTTGCAGCCGGCTTGATGTCCTTGGGGCCGGGAACCACCAATAGGTGCTGCGACCCCGACCGTAGAGCTCTTGGGGGAACATATGGAGTTGTGTTTCGGGAAGGAACCAAGAAGCTCACAGAAGTAGAAGTCTCGTGGCTCCTTAAGGACTGGCATGTTTGTTGCGGTGGAACTTGTTATAGACTAGAACCCACTTCGTCGGATATCATCAAAGGTGGTCCCCCTTGCCCTGTGGGGCTGGTGAGAGATGATATTAATGAATGGTTGGGGTCACACACGCCAGGTAAAGCGGGGGCGGGGGGGAAGCGAGGCTATTTCCTCCGGAGGAATTTGACCCGCAGTTGTAAGATCACACCTCCCTTCGAAGCTGCGTGCATAGCCTGTCAGTGTGTGATCAGACACAACTGCGGGTGAGTCTCTCCCCCCCCCCGTTAGTTTTCCATGTGCTTAAACAAGGAATTTCGAAGCTGCGTGCATAGCCTGTCAGTGTGTGATCAGACACAACTGCGGGTGAGTCTCTCCCCCCCCCCGTTAGTTTCCCATGTGCTTAAACAAGGAATCAATGAATCAAACCTCCGCACTGAGGGTTCCCTATGGAGTTTGCGATGATGCGCATACTGAGAAGGGGGGGGGAACCAATGGCACGGAGTCGGGATGGCCTGCTCAGACCATCCCAATAGCCAACAAAAGGGGGGGGGGAAGCCAGTGTACAGTACAAGGAACAGCAAAGATCACCCCACTGACTGAAAACAAACGCACAAGCAAAATAACAAGTATATAGTAATCATATAAGCATGACAGCAAGTATAATATGAATCAATTGGCCAAGGTGCAATAATAAAGCTTTTTATGGCTCAGAAAATGTGATGACTTACACTTCAATTTGGACTCTGATATTTGCTTCTATGACACATGGAAAGACTGTAGACCGTGCTTCTATTATGCTTTATTATTGCACCTTGGCCAATTGATTCATATTATACTTGCTGTTATGCTTATATGATTATCAGACCATCCCAATGGCATGAGAGCACGCTGGAGTGATCAGACAGGGGAAAGTCTGTCCGTGGCCTGTCACAACCCATTGACTACCGGATTTTCCCCATTGTCTTTTAACTCCGCTTCTGCGGTGTAGCAGAACAAGCTGCCGACGGCTGCGGGATGCTTCCCAGATGTTGCTGTCTGATCACTCCCTTTAAATCTGCCCCACCTTTGCGCCTATGTCAGGTCTAATTGTGCGTATGATCGCAGCCGAAGATGTGGAATGAAATTTTATATTAATTTAATGAAAGATCTAAGAAGTGGTACAAGGCTGAGCACGTGTAGGCTGTGTTTCTAGTGCTTTTATGTACACTACCTTGGGAATCCTCTCCAACAATCCTGCAAGGTAGGCCATTAGCATGATCCCCATATTACAAACAGGCTAGCCTCTCATCTCATTCCCTTATGCCTCCTAGGAAGGTCATTGCTGAGGTGATACTGGGGATTTCCTGGCTTACATTCTTAGCAACTGTTGAAGTCTCTGTCTCCGGCAATCACTGAAAGAACCTGTCTTTATCTTTTCATGCCGTATCTGCTTTGGCACATAAACAGTGGAAATTGATTCTTGACAATGTTACTAATAGGGGATGTTTTTATATTTTAAAAAATTGCTTTTCAAATTGCAATCTCTGTGGGGAAATTCACAATAATTTCTGCAGCTTTAGCATGCTTCAGGAAATCAAAAATTGCTCGTCTTGCAAAATGATTACTGTCTTTGCTTAAGGCTGTTAACATAAGGCATCATTCCATTCAAAATAATTTATTCGCATTTTGAAGGGACGGAGATTACAATGTCAAAATGGCAGAGATCCACCGCCTTTCCTCTGCATCTCACCCCCAAACGGTGCCACTTTGTAAACTGCATTTATTTGTTTTGCAGAGATGAAACAGATCACTTGGCTGAGCTCGGCAGGACTGCTGATGGTGGTTTTCGGGGACTGCCTGAGGAAATCAGCTATGCTCACGGCCGGCTCCAATTTCAACCACATCGTTCAGAATGAAAAATCAGAGTCTCACACTCTGGTGACCAGAGGAGTGTACGGGTGGTTCCGTCACCCTTCTTACGTTGGATGGTTTTACTGGAGTATTGGGACCCAGGTAATATCCAACAGCATTTTTCAATCCTTGGCTTCCTTATCTCAGTCTCCATGATATATTTAAGGAAGTGTGCGATGGCGTAGAATTTGATACCGTTAGTTATTAGAAGGAAGAAATCATCTTTAATATATTCTTTTTCATTTCTTGTTTTCAAGGAGCTCAGTATTGCAGTTAGAGATGTGAAGGATTAGGGGGGAGGGAAATGAAAACAAAAAGGAAAAACCAATCTTTTCTTTTTTCTGAAGGGCTTTTTCAGTTTTTATGGTGGAAAAACCAGGAAATTTTGGAGTGTGCTGGAAAAAAAAATCTGTGAAATGTTTTCTCTTTTGGAATGAGTGAGATGCTTTTTGAAGACAAGGTTGTACTCTCTCAGAATGAAGACAGTCTGCAGTGTTAGTTAATTACTGTGCCTACACTATAGCTGTATACAATATATTTTCATGCATGTATTTATTGTTTAAATATGATTAACTTTGTCCGTGGTTAACATGCTGCGATGTGTATGCTGATACACTATTGAAGAAATTAATGTTTAAAATGTTAATGAGGTTTAGCTCAATATTTGCCCACTCTGTTAGCTAAAAATATACACAAGCGTGCAGTTAATCCTCAGTCTTGTTGATTGAAATGTGCCCTTGGCTTTGCTGTTGCTGAACACAAAGTGAGGAGCTGCATGAGCGAATGGTCCAACACAAAACTCCTTTCACATGGAAAGCTAGCCTGTCAGGCAGAAGAGTTGCAGCCTAGCCTTCCCTGAGATGGGGCTACCTTTTTGTTTATAAGGACCAGTGTTCCCTCTAAGCTGAGAGTGTGAGCTGGCTCACAGTTTTTTTAGCCTCCAGCTCACCCATTTTTGACTTGCGCTCAGGAAGGAGGGCTCCAGAGCAAACGAATTGAAGCAGCAGCCAAATCGCTCGCTCACGACTTTAATGCCAGTAGCTCACAATGTAGAATCTTTGCTCACAAGACTCCACAGCTTAGAGGGAGCATTGATAAGGACTTCTTGATGGGGGGGGGCAGCGTTCCAAGGTGCAACGGGAAAGTCAACATGTCAGGAAGACAGATGCTAATTTAGCCTAGCTTTGATGTGAGCTCCTTGCATTGCAGCATTCTAAATTTATCTCAAATTGCTGGGTGCAAGTCTTAGCCATTCTAGATTATATTTGCCAGCCTTTGGTAGCAGAAGAGCCTTTCTGAGACTCCTTCCTGGGTGTTTAGCTCGTCCTTTAGGCTTCCAGGTAGCCAAGGAATGGGTTTTTCCCTCCTTTTTATGTGTAATCCTTTAAATTCCTTCTGTTATTATTATTTTTTTTTGCCCCAGATCTTGCTCTGTAATCCCATTTGCATGGTGGGCTACACCCTGGTCTCCTGGCGTTTCTTCCGAGAACGGATAGAAGAGGAGGAGATGACGCTCATCCATTTCTTTGGCGAGGAGTATCTGGCGTATAAAAGACGGGTGCCGACGGGCCTGCCCTTCATCAGTGGGGTTAAAGTGGAACTATGAGAGCGGGGTCGGAAGCTTGAGCTGAACAAGGGAATGCTTAGCCCTGGGCCAACCGGTCTCTGCCTAGAGAACGGCGCCGTGTGCCCCGCTGGTACCAGTAGCGGTCAGTTTTTAATACTTAGCAGTGACTTTGCCTGGAGGTTTTGTTAAGGGCTATGCAGCAGCTCAGGCTCTTTAGTTCAAATTAGAGGAAGTCTTTCTGGATTCTCGAAGCTGCACTGAACTCTCAAGCCCAAGTCACAAGGCTGAGTTTTATTTTTTAAAGCGAAAAGGCCGTCGCTGTACCTCGGGGCGGCTCCGATGGACTGAAATGCATCCCGGCAGGTTGTTTTTCAAGAACAAGCTTGCACTTTCAGTAACCACCATCGTCCTGGAAGGGGGTCTGCATGGGACCTCACCCCTCTCTCTGGTAAAAACTCTTTTAAAAACACTTTTTTTGGATACACGTTTCCCCCCCCCCTTCTAAAAGGGCTTTAACTTCTGGGCCCCAAAACACAAGCCCTTTGGCCTCAACTCTTCCAGTGGGGCAGAGGCTTGCAGCCATTTGGCCCTCTTAAACGCATGACCTTTTTTCGAAAATCACTCCTGGAATAACGTTTACCTAAGAGATTGTGGCCATCGCAGACAAAAGACATGTCCCCTTCCGGTAAAAACGGGGTTTCCTAAACGCCACACAGCCAGGCTTGCGTTACACCTCACCAATGAATGAAAAATACGTCTCTGCATTTAAATTTCATGTTGTCCTGCTCTGTTTTCATTGCTGTCCTTTGTCTGCTAGGTTCATCCCTGTCAGACCTGTGGGGGGGGGGGAATGGTCTTACAGCCACACCTGTGGTTTCAAGCTTCCCCCTCTTTCCTGTCTGTTTTACATTTTGATTTTTTTGCAAAGGTTTAAAACACGGTTCTGTAAAGGAAAGCATTGTTCTCAACTCTGCAATATCCGTAGCTGGTAAGAACTGGGCAAGTAAATCTTTGCCCACAAGAGGGGTTATTTGTTTCAGCGCTTGTTAGTTTTTGGACTGGGAACGCTGCCTGTGCTTGAGCAACAGGGACACGGTGTTTTTATTTTCCTTCCAGGTTTCATGGAGTACCGTTTGTTCTTGTTGTATACCAAAGAGTAGCTTACTGCTTTTGTGGTTCTAGTAATCTTTGTATAATGGGGATGTGGATTCAGGTTGAGGCTGGCTGAAACTGTTTGGGCCAAGATACAGCCAATCCTGGCCCAGCTGCAGTTCACTGCAATTTTGCCAGTTCTTGAGCTTCTCGGATGCTCACGCTTCTTAGTTGTGAAGGCTTGAGGATTCAGAGGACATGTTACAGTGGAGGGGGGAA